ATAGGCAATGGGATTATCCCTTTTCCATGATTCTGATTGGCTGATTTGGATTCCACCCTATGACGTGGCAGGATAACGGGGCAGCCTCTAGATCCTTCGTTAATATTTTGCATCGACTATTATTTAGCGATGCTGCTTCACTTCCTTTGGGGCGGATTCTTGATATTTTTCCTCCAAAGTTTATTGGTGTGGCTAAAAACAAATTCGGAAAATTTTCTTTTCATTTAAACATAAATATGCAATATGTTATGGGAGGATAAAATTAGTCTCGCACCGTTTCAACAAACAAATTAATAAATAAAAAGACGACGACAAAATTAGACTCACACGTCAACTATAAAAGCATGACCAAATCCGATCCAAACCCAAAGACAAGCCTAAGTCTCGACCGATCAGGTCTCGACTGACCAGGTTTTTCTGCTCTACCAATGAGGTAATTGATAGGCTTACTCTCATCCTCTTATATCATTTGGCCTATGATGATGTTTTCTTCAAAGCCGAAAGATATACTATCAAGCTCCACCTTGTTAGTATTTTGAGCATTTCTTGACAATTCTTCTATGATCTGAGAATTCTTCTCATTCGGATGTGGTATCAGTTCATTCATATATCCCTTCTCTATACTCGAGTGTCACATGAACACAAAGTGTTACATAATTTAATTCAGAAATAACTATTCTCCCACGACTTCTAAACATGTTGTACAACTACGAAATGTGCAACTAATCTACTAGAGAATAATCTTAATTAGTATTAGAAATTTAGAAAGAAGTTGACTATAGACACTGTAGTTCGTTGAGATATGTGGTCGGCGCGACTTRTCTTAGAATTAATAAGTGTTTTGGGACAGATCGTATCAATAAGTGACTAACTAAAAGTGGGATCCGTTTCTAAGTTCATATAAATAGTGAGGATTTACTCTCTTACACATGTATTAAATTCTGATTATACATCTTGAGATCGAATTTCTCAAATTGAAACTGACTCGAACGTAGGAGTGTCTACTCTCTTTATGCAGGTTTTCCTTCGCATACCTCACTCCATCATAGGTCGTAATGCTCCAATATAAGTCAATTACAAGATATAAGAATTCAACATCAACATAATAATATTAAAAATTCCAATTTACTTATAGGAAGTTGATGTGTCACTAATATAGTGTTTTGTGCATATGCCATTTCGATAAATCGATTTTGTTTATGGGCAAGTTAGGTTTTCTTTTCTCTTCCATTTTAAAGGAAATAACAGAGGATATTCTTATTGATTGAGGTTTTATCCATTATAATTATGTAAGCGAATAAATATAATAATTCAAAGCATGAAAACAAAGATATTTAATTAAAAAATATTGACAATTAGTGAGTAATACTAAAATCGGAAAAGGCACCTTTGCCAAAGAAGCTTCCACGTGATTGCCAAGCAATCCAGTCCGGCGGTCATTTTTCCAGCACTATTTTGAAGGATTTTTATTTTTATTTTATAGGATTATGGAGTATGGACACACATTTAAAGGGTTTTTTTTTAAGAATGTAAATTTTTAAAATATTTACCAAAATATACCTCATCTCAAACTAATTACAATAATAATGCTTTGAAATTCATAGGTCGTCTAGAGACGACCTATGAGCTGGCATAAGTTGGTCGTCTCTTGCCACGGTAATTTTTTTTTTAAATTAACAAAGACGACCATGTCTTTTTTTTCTTTTTTTTTTTTAAATAACGTAACATGTCATCTCTTCAAGAGACGACATTTTAGGCGGGATTTGAAAAATCCCGCTTGGTCGTCTCTTCAAGAGACGACCAATTGTGCATGGGCGCCAGCTGGCGCCTTGGTCGTCTCTTTTAAGAGACGACCAAGGGTGGGTTTTTAAAATAGGTTTCGTTTTAAAAACCCTAACCCCTCACCCCTATCCCCATATCCAAAATACATTCAGCCGCCGCCACCGCCGCCGTCTCCGCCGATCAGTCCACCGTCTAGCCGCCGTAACCTCTTCTGGTCTCTTCAGAGACGACCATGTCTTTTTTTCTTTTTTTTTTAAATACTAGGTTTTTTTTTTACTTTGGTCGTCTCTTGAAGACGACCAACTTATGCCAGCTCATAGGTCGTCTCTCGACCTATGAATTTCAAAGCATTATTCTTGTAATTAGTTTGAGAGGAGGCATATTTTGGTAAATATTTTAAAAATTCACATTATTAAAAAAAAATCCCACATTTAAATCTGTAAATATGTCACTCGTATTGAAAAGAACAAGATCTATCAATATAAAAAATTTATTTATAAAAATAAAATTATAGGATGAAAGTACTAAGGAAATTACAGTGTAAACGGAATTTTAATAAAATAAAATAAAAACGCTTCGTTTTTATCACCACTAACCGATAATTTATGAAAATTTTAATTATTTTTATTTACCGAACCCAAACTCTGCCAAAAGGCTTGTGATCTGTGACTGTCAGTCACCGCACATGTCTTTTTTGTGTTTTTAAAATTTAATAATGTTATTTATTTTTACGTTTCAATAGGAAAAATAACGTGCAAACATGTTCCACTAAAATTAAAAATAAAATGTATAAATCTTTTTTTTTAAACTATAAAACGTGTAAATCTAAATGTTATTTGAGGTATGAGATACTTAGATTATTTTACTATTAAAAATTTTCTTAATATTCGATTTCTTTTTTGTCTAGTACAACTAATATTCGATTTCAAATCTTAAATTTTATAGAGAAAATAATCAAAATTTAGTAGTTTTAGATAATTGAAAAGGATTTAGACTTTGTTCCACAGTTGTTACTAAAAGTAGGGTTTTAATGCAAAATTTAAGTTCTAAGCAAAATATTTGGTTATCGAATTAAAAAGATCAAAATTTTAAATCTTTAATGATTCATGACTCACATATTTTGCCATCAAATATTCAAAATCAATAAATAATTATCGTTTATCAATTTAAAATTATCTCGAATAGTATCTAAATTCATCCGAGATTTTAATGGAAATAAGAATTCCATTTTTCAAAATAATAATAATAATTTTTTTTAGTAGTCTGTTTTCAAATTCAATTGGTTGTTTATTTCATATGATTAAGAACCTTGTGAGATGCCAATAACTATGTAATTTTTATTTCTTCATATAAAATCATCTCATGATTTCAATTTATTCATCGTAAAATCGAATGAAGTATTTTTTATACAAAAATTGAAAAAGATTTAAAGAGAATAATTCAAACCATGACCACCCATGTAAAATTTAGAATCGAATAGACATGTATTTTAAACTTCGTCAACCTTTTAGATGTGCGTGTGTGGACCCGACGCAGACGCAAGTCACGTGACGCTCCATTGACAGCACATTAAAACAGTCCCAATATCAAGGCTGCCGCACTGCATTGTTCCGGAACTCTGTGTTCTCCAATTTCTTCTGTTCAGCCACAAAAATGGAGTCCGTGCCCCTTTTTCTCACCGGAACTCTCCTGGCCGCCGGCCTCTACTGGTTCTTCTTCGTCTACGGCTCCCCCGAACGCAAAGGCAAATCCTCCGTCAGCCTCTCCGCCGGTTCAATCTCATCCGACAAACTCCAGCACAAGTACGAGCAGTACTGGTCCTTCTTCCGTCGCCCGGAGAAAACCGAC